GTGTGTGTGTGTGTGTGTGTGTGTGTGTGTACCTTGCGCAGCTGTATAACTTCAGGTCTCTCCTCTTTTGGTGAACGCAGAGTGGTGCGTGACTCACTCCTGCCAGACTCCCCGAGAGTGAAGCTGCACCCTGAAGAGAAGCAAAGCAGGCAGAGAAGAAGACAAATGAGGGACAAGGAAATAGACAGCTGAGGGACAGAAAGATGGACAGCTGAGGGATAGAAAGATGGACAGCTGAGGGACAGAAAGATGGACAGCTGAGGGACAGGCTGAGGACATGCAGAGTGGTTGATGTGGACCCAACCTGGGGGTTTCACGTTGCTGCGGGACGAGGTACGAAACAGAAAGCTGTTGGGTCTCTGAGCCTGACCGGGAGGWGGGGACGTCTTCGGGGAGGACGGCACGTCTGATGGACACAGTCAGGTCATTTTTTTTTACAAAAGTGTGAGTACAAAAAGCATCATGACAGAGAACAGGAGTCAACGAGTCTAAAACAGTTGGCCCTTCACCTCCAGCTGTGAGGAGATGCAGCTGAGATACAAATCAATCAAGTCTGGGTGTTTGTCCTCGGACAGATAACCTGCATCAGTAATCATGTTTAAATGGACATAAGTATCAGAATAAACATCCAWTCAGAATATTCTGATGTGATTCAGCTTGACCTGAATGAGTATGTAAYCTGAATTAGAGGGGGGTTTATGTTGATTGATAATCTGATTGGATAGAGTGTCTGTCCCTAGCTACATCCATGTGGGTGTCTAAACTTGGTCTTGGAGGTCCACTACCCACTATCACTGAATCAGGCGTTGGAACAGGGAAACAGGTAAAAGATGCAGGATAGTGGGCCTCAAGGAYYAGGGGWGTCYRCCTCTGGTTTAAAAACATTCCACCAGTGTCTGACTGTTTAAAGGTTCATTCTTTGTAATGTTGTGTTAAATAAAACCAATAAGTAAGAAACAGAAATGTGTCAGAGTCCTCTGGTCCTCTGCAGTCTGGAGCTGTGAGTGTGGTTTCAGGGTTGATTTTCAGCTCCATGCKCCACTCATGTCTTACCTGTTCTGCTGCTTGAGCGGTGCAGGAGGACTGAAGGACACATCTGATCAGCACTCTGAGAAAACAAACAGTCCTGAATCACAACCCTGAACACACACRCACRCAMRCACRCACRCACACAC